TTTTGGCCTCCTCGCCACAGACCTCTATCGCCTGCTCACCACGGACATCTCTCGGCTCCTCGTCGGGGACTTCTTCAGTGTTGTCGAGGATCACCGCCGTAGCTCGTCTCGCCTTCTCGTCATGTGGAAATTTGGCGTCGTCACTCTCCTCGCGTTGGTGCCACGGAGCTCTGTGGACATGTGGATGTTCGGCAAGTGAGGACTTTGGGCCAATCTACGGCGGCGCACTCTCTCCTTATCACCCCGGATATGTCTCACCACGTGGAGGTTCGGCGTCGTCGCTCTTCTCTTCTTCTCGCCGCAGAGCAGTCTCGCTGGGGTTGTTGTCCTCCTCTCGTACACGTGGACCTCTTGCTCATCTGTGCGTCGAGGACACTTCTTCGTCGTCGTCACAAATGCAGTCGTTGCCACGCGTGATCCGTACGTGAGACGCCGTTATCGCCAGATCGGTGGAACTCCGATTGGCGGTTGACCTTCTATTCCCGCTCATCCGATCTGACCGCCAAATTCGCTTTGAGAGGGAAGCATGAAGCATGTCTACGTGAGTCAGCGCCCGTGGTAAGAAGGGGGATATCGTCCCTTCGGACACTTAAGGGCGGGAAAGGGGTCGGCGGCATGTCCCCGAGGCAAAGAGGCTTCGTTTGGACGATGCTTCAAGAAGCGTGCCTGCTCGTCGACCACAAGCTTCGGTAACAGCAGACGACGACGACGACGACGATGTCTTCACGACGGAGGAAGAAGCGCTAGAGGAGACCTCGCCCCCAGTTCGGGAGAGTGGTCGCTAACGTTCTTCTGATCACAGCGTTGCGAGGAGATTGTAGACGCCTCCATCGGAGGCGCAGCACGTGCGTGCCCGCAAAACGCGCTCGGAGAAGGAGGTCGTCGTTGATGTCGGCTCTGATGATGGCGAGTCGTTGGAACAACGTCGACACCCAATGTCACACAAGCCACCATAGCGACGGCAGTCAGGGCACGCGGCGCGATTGACGAAAGGCCACCTCAGGGTGGACTGCCTGCCACACCGTCTCACGCGCGTCCGCGCAACACGGCTGATGAGGGAGGCTCCATTGAACTTGGGGGGGGGGGGGGGGGGCAGACGCGTGAGGAGCTGGGGACGGGGCGGGAGGCGGTGCGGGTGTGGGGTGCAGCAACTTCGGGCAATGTGCCACCCGTATCGAGGGCCAAAGAGGAGCTTCCAGTAGTCGAGAGGGAGGGGTGCGTGGCGAAATCAGAGGTGATCGGGAGGATGACGACCCCCTTTTAAGCCGGGTACAAAGGGGAGGCACGGCGAAAGATCTGATCGACCGTGCCCGACTGTGGGTTGATGACAAAGCTTTCTGGGTTCGCCAACGGTCTTCAAGCACCTGCCATTTCTCGGAGCGTCGTCATGCCAAAATCCTGCACGAAGCTAACTAGGATTGCCGATCCCGCACAGTTGCAACAAGCGATCTCCCGTGTGGCGATAATGGAGAATATTGTTCTGCGCGTCTTGCACGACTGGGTCATCAAGTCCGGGAACCGCCCCAAAGGTTACAATTTGGCTTTCCAGTTCGCACTAGAGTCCGTGGCGACGGACATTGCGCGTGCTATGTGGTACGACGAGGGTGGAGTAACGTCGTCAGTGCGGCCGTTTGCTCGCAAACAATAGACCTGTCCATGGACTTCCCACTATGGTTCGCGGGCGTGAACATAGAGGACGGGCATGAGGACGACGACATGGCGGTGTACCAGGAGTCCACCATCATATGCATCACGCATGCATTCCGCGTCGAGGTGTAAAAGGGTGCGGATGTCGACAGCGGTTTCATCTCACACGACCGTCTTTCGCGGGCTGCTGACTGCTTCAGGCTTTTGTCGGCCGCCAGCATGTGGTTGATGCGCATGGCAAAAGACAATCTGGGCAGCCACTACGAAGCTTTTTACTTCGCGAAGCTGGTGGCGAAGCCCACGCTCATCGTGTCCATGCATTGCTCCTTCGAACAAAGAGGATTAGTCGTCAGCGCCTTAAATGTCGTCACAAAGAGGCTTGGGAAGGCGAACGCTACCTTGGGAGAGTACCCGAAGTACATCCCCAAATGGGCATCCTGCGGCATCGTCTTCGGGTACGACGCGAGCATAACAGGGTCGGAGGACGCGAAGAGGTTGGATTGGTTGGGTCCGGGCCCCTTGGAGGAGGACAACGATGACGCTGGAAAAGACGACGCGTAGGGGGGGGGGGGCTGGTGAGACGTACGGCGCAGGAGAGGGAAGTGGAAGGGGGGGGGGGGCATGGACGTTCCAAGATTTGTGGCTGCGCATATAGACGTTGGTGGTCGTAACGGGATTGTCGTTGGTTGGGCACATGTATAGTGTGTCGCTCCTGTACGTAGACGAGCGACGTTTGAAGTCGTTCACTTTGCCAAGGGTGCTTTTCTCACTTCGATCATCGTTGGTTGTGCACATGTTTAGTGTGCCGCTCCTGCGAGTGGACGAGTGACGTTTTAGGGCATTCACTTCAGCAGGGTCGACGGGGGTTTTCAATTTCAATCGTTGTGTTGTGTGTTCTTGTCATCGCAGCTTGCTACGAACAAACATAATTGCACTTGGAGTGCACCCTTTTTTTAATCATGTGTCCGCTGTTTTCGTAACTTCGTTGGCATGAGTGAATGATGATTGCGACGTTTGCATGCACACATTTCATCTTCGTCTTTTTCTGATGTCATTGTCGTTTGTTCGGTTGGTTTTTTGCAGTTTTCCCAATGGCAACAACAACTGTATTTGATTTTCATTTGAATAGTCGTAGTAAGACAATGCACACAACCCTTAAGAGCAAACGATGTCCAAGAGCACTTGTTGTAAAGATGCAATGGCACAATGTATCTTCTTCCTGAATAATCATCGCATTGAAATATCAACACACAGAAGAACGACACATACTAACAATAGAAAGAAGAAGAACACATTACCCCTCGCCACCTTTACCCTTAATCGATGATTTTAACATCGCAAGGAAATTACAAAATCGAGCACCAATTGTTAAAAAAGACATCATGATCTAACTCATGGGTGACGAGTTTCAGCCCCTCCCGCACGATCAAACCTGCAATCTCTTCAACACGACCGCCATGTGTCAAAAAAAAAAAAGGCGCACATGACACCCGCAGTGTGTCGTATCGCCACTACATAACGTAAACGCCCATTGCAGGGCTTCCTGAACAACGGCCGTGCACATCCACGCACCGCGACAGTAACGAACTACAACCTCGAACGCAAACTACCAACCCCAAGGCGGGACACGCACTAACACTCCATTCAAGGCGGGGCGAAACAATGAATCTGCCCTCCTGCCAATGCTGCAATGACTACACTTCCACGTGTTGCCGTCCACCATGTGAACACGACTCAATCGTGTTTCATTCGTTCCGCTAAAGCATCCCGCAGGGCCAACGCTTTATCTGTCGACGTAATCATCGACACAGGCTGAAGGGGCTCTTCGATCCCCAGGTCCACACGTCGTCGCACACCATTAGCATCGACCTCCCATAGGGCCATAGCAGATTCTCATCGAAAGGAATTTCGGTGTCGATCAGTATGTTGTGTAGTACACAAACTCGGATGACGGTGAATTGTTGCAGGAGCATGTCCAGGTTCGTCTTGTGCATCCGCAGAAACAGCCGCCACATGCCCTTCAGCCTGCCGAACGCCTTTTCCACTGCTCCCCTCGCCACCTTCTGCTTGTTGTCAAACCGCTCCTCCTCGACGTGCTGATTGACGACTCCATACGGGACGGTCATCCATTCCGGAGGGGCAGTGTATACGGCCTTACGAATACGGCCCGTCCGTACATCCCGACGTCCGTACGTACGGGCCCCCCAGCACTCATACGGCCCGTACGTACGGACTTTGGGCCCTCCGTATGTGGCCTCCGGGGGGGTGTTGAGGGGTCGGATGGGCTGGGGGAGGGTCGGGTGTTAGGGGGTATCCCCTCATTCAAAAAAAACAAAAAAAAAAAGATTTTTTTTTTTTGGTCCCGGGGGTAAAAAAAAATAAAAAATTGATTGATTGATTAATTGGTTGATTGATTGATTGAATGATTGATTGATTCATTGTGTGATTGGTTGATTGATTGATTGATTGATTGATTGATTGATTGATATGAGGTGGGGGGGGTCGCCTCCCCTCCAGGAGTACACACACACATACACACACACACACACACGGGCGCGGCGTTTTTTTTTTGTTTTTTTTTTGATTGATTGATTGATTGATTGATTGAATGATTGATTGATTGGTATAAGGTGGGGGGGTCGCCTCCCCCCCACGAGTACACACACACACACACACACACACACACANAATGATTGATTGATTGGTATAAGGTGGGGGGGTCGCCTCCCCCCCACGAGTACACACACACACACACACACACACACACACACACACACACACACACACACACACACACACACACACACACAGAGTCATGCTTTTTTTTAGTGCATATCGAATATGACAACACACACACACACACATACACACAAACTCGCGCGGCCTTTTTTTTTCTTTTTTTTTTCTTTTTTCTTTTTTTTCTTCTTTTTTTTTTCTTCTTTTGATTGATTGATTGATATGAAATGAGGGGGTTCGCCTCCCCCCCGCGAACACACACACACACACACACACACACACACACACACACATGCATGAGGGGCAACTGCCCATTTTTTTTCGCTACCAAATTCTTTTTTTTCCTTTTCTTTTTCTTTTTTTTTTGTTCTTGATTTTTTAAACATCCTCTGTAGGGCCGAAAAAAAGAAAAACAAATATGGGGTTGTCGATCTCGAAAAGATCTACAACCCCGTATTTTTATTTTTATTTTTTTGATTATTTTTTGCCCCTAAAACACCTTCGGACGACCGTCGTCCGTACGCCCATACGGCCGTTCGTCCGTCCGTACGCATGGGCCGTACAGAGACCCCGCTTACGACGTACGGGAGACGACACTTCGAAGGGGGGTAGCCATTGTCCGCGAGGATGTAGCCGTTTGTCCGCACATCGAACAATAGTGGCACAGGGGGACCACAGAACAACGACCCCGACTCCGCACGCTACCACAGGCTGGACAACTGGAGCACCCTGATGTCGTGGCAGCTACCCGGGTATCCCATGTGCACATCGAGCACATGCAAGTCCAGGTCGACGACAACCTGGGCGACGATGGAGAAATAGCGCTTCCTATCATAGTAGTTTTCGCTCGGTGCGTTCGCCGGCTTGTCCACGTAGATGTGAGCACAGTCAATGCAACCGTGGCAATTCGGGAACCCTTTATTAGCAAACGCCCGCAGAACGACGAGTTTACGAACTCCAGCCGGCCAGGCAATCTTCTCTTCGTACACCTGGAGCAGCACAGCAGTAACGTCGCGAACGACAACCAGGCCAGAAGCTCTGCCAATCCCGAAGTTGCACTTGTTGTTCTTGTATGTCTCCCCCGACGCCCACCTGTAAAGTCCGTACGCCACAATCTGGTCTAGCTGCAAAGGCTCTCTGTAGAACGTCACCCGCCGCTGAAGATGAGGCGCACACGCCTCCACGATTTCCCGGAACACTCGCAGCGACATGCATAGCTTCTGCCGGAAGTAGTCCTCTGTCCCGCCATCACATTGCCTGAGGTCTTCCCAAGTGCCTCCTGTCCTGCGCTTCATCCACCACGATGACCTCGGCGTCGCTCGAGGAATCACTCTGCAACCCAATGCGTAGCACAACTGAACAACAACCTCCGAGGTCGCCACATAGTCGGGGCCATCGTCCGGAGCTTGCATCAATGTCCTCGGTCTACACGCACGCAACTGCTCGTTCAGTCGTCCCAGTGCCCTCTCCTGCCGACATCGAAGAACAACGGTAGACACGGCCTGCAGCTCAAGAGGTGCCAACACCGCACGTCCACCCTCTCCGTCGTCCTCCATAGCCGCGACCTGGACACGGACCCGTTGCTCGGTTGTCGTGTGTGTCGTCCTTCCACACCCAACGAAGAAGCCAAAGACGTCCGTCGAAAGCTGGCCCCTTTTCTCTGGATGCGGTCCCGCAGACAGAAATGTGTTTCAAGGCGCAGTCGACGTGTGCGAAGGTTGACGGCGATGGACACACCCGACGATGCCTGCGCACTAGCAACGGCCGCGGGACGAAAGTGACGCCGCCGCTGAGCCCGTTTCAGCAGTAAGCCGTCTTCGCGCCACCAGCCGCACGTCCTCATCGTCGTCACAGCCGTCATTCGAAATTCAAATTTCAAATGTCGACGCCCCCCGGGTTAATTTTTTTTCCCGTCACTCGCCTCATGCCGTTTCCCGCCACACGTCGCTGGACCATGCCGCCTCCACACGGACAAAAGACGGTGGACCAAGGACCACCGACCCCACGGCCACTAATTTCCGTATGAAAACGGCCGTGGGCACGCCACAAGGAAACATCCTCGGGGGAGGTCCCCAGGGATGAGTGGAACGACGCCGCAAATTCCCCTTAAGATCCACAAGGAAATTTCCTTTTTTTTTATTATTATTTTTTTTAAACAGCCCGAGCAGCTGCTAGGGACGCTGGTTCGAGCAGGCACACCTAGCACTGACGAGAAGGCTCCATCTATTGGTGGGGAGCAGCACCTGCTGGAAAACGGGTCCAGCGTCCCTGAACATTGTAGTTGTTTGTGTGAGCACCTGCTGGAAAACGGGTCCAGCGTCCCTGAGCATTGTAGTTGTTTGTGTGAATGGATATACAGTTGAGTGTACTGGCACACCTAGAGACTTCATCTAGCAAAGCTGTACAGCTGCGCGAATTCGCAATGTTGTTGACAGTCTAAGATACACCTGAACACTGTAGGTGTCTGTGCAGCTGTCCGAAATGCCCGTGTAGTTGACTGTCTGATGATAGAAGGTGACTGTGGTTGTTGTTGTTTCAGTTGTGAGATTAGAATCTGATGTAGCTGTGTTTGTATAAAAGGTGAGATTAGATGTAGCTGTGTTTGTATAAAAGGTGACAATGTGGTTGTTTGTGTCCCTAGACATGCACTTATATTGACTGCGGGCTACAGGCCCACCGTGCTGTTGCTGTTGTTGCAGTTGTGCGTGATTAGATATAGCTGTATTTGTAAATAACAGTGCGATTCAGGACCATCCACGTGTTTGGAGTTGCACTTCTGGTGTTTTCCTGCAGCCGACCTGCTTACCCACTGGAGCCTATAGCCGGCCAGCAGGCAAGCCAGCCACCCATTCCCCCTCCCCCACCCTTCTTTTACTGGATGATGCACCGGATGGGCTGAAGCTGTGCAGTCTTTGACGATCCTGACCCTATGGCCACACCTGTCCGCGGTTGTGTGCGATTAGATATAGCTGTATTTGTAAATAACAGTGAGCTGCGGGGCCATCTACATGTTTGGAGTTGCGCTTATTGTGTTTTCTTACAGCCGACGTGCTTACCCACTTGAGCCCAAACTGCGGAGATGTGAGGACCTGGACACATCCTGCCCGCTTCCCCTGCTTGTTAGACTGAGAGTGGTGGATGATCCGAAGGATGGCCTTTTCTTATATGAACCATCCACCCCTCTTCTCCTATTGCCCTTCGATCCTGCAGAATGGGAAATTCAATGGAGAGGGCGGGACTTACACCCCATGCCCTTTTGGCAATACACCATTAAAAAGGGATATAGGATGGGCCGCAAGCACGTCCCGGTCATGGACAGTATTATTAGGAGATGGGAGAGGGACTCCCCTCTTACAAGACAGGACCTTCAAGACCTCAAATGGTCCTCCTATGCAAACATCAAACCAACAAACCATAGAGCTTTACAGTGGCAGATCATTCACAGATGCTTGCCGACGCCAGATTGGCTAACTCCCAGGACTGACCTAGAGGAGAAGGGGACGCTCTCCCCTATATGCTCATACTGTACCCGCTCCTTCCCCAGGACGAGGGCTACCCTCGAGCACTGCTTGCTCGAATGCCCGATGGTCTCCCAGCTGTGGAGTTGGTGGGATGCTGCTTGGAACTACCTTACGGACGAGCATCTGCCTTGGAACATCGGCTCCCTACTATTACGGGACCTTTCCCAGGCCGGAAACTCATGGACACCTTTCATATCCAATCTCTTCTCCTACACCAGGCTGACAGTCCTCATGCAGGCCTGGAGGATGCGATGCTCGTTCCAAAGGAACCAACACACGTTCGGAGTTATGCAGGCACGAATGGCAATAATAGATACCATTACGGCCAAGACTCAGCAAGCCCACAAAGAACTGCGGGAAATGCTTAAAACAGAACTCGAGGCAACCACCACGATGCCTCCCTGCAGTGGCAACCCTGGCCAACAACAGAGAGCCAGTGGGAACGCCTACCGCAATCTCACTTTCGAGTGGACTATCAACCGACGAACTTCGTCCTGATACCCAGTAGAAGTCTAGATGGTCAACACTCCTAGCCTCTCCTGTCCTCCCTTAAGCCCCTCACCCGCCCTGTCTTCCTCTGTGTTACCCAGACCACTCCGCCACGCCCACCACCATGCCCATCATCCCCGCCTTACACTACCCCTTCCCACCCATGCCCATCATTCCCGCTTTACACTACCCCTTCCCACCCCTCCCTCTGCCGGTCAAGGACGACTGCCACACCAAGAGGATTGGCAGGGTTCAAATGAAAGGGACTCCATCAGCAAGAGAGAGTGAGCTGGACTACTTGGGAGACACAGAGGTGATAGTCAAAGGAGAGGTTAACGGGCCGGGGAGGGCCCTTGTCACAAGTGTGGTCACCGGGTCAGGATCAACAAAGACTGTACATAGCTTCTGCTCACAAGGAAATTTCCTTGTGGCTCAAGGAACTCCTAAGGAGTGTCTAATGAGGCCTTAAGTCAATCCTCTTTGCTGATGGGGCCTAGGCCCTGGTGAATGTGCGGTAGGGTTGGAGCTATCCATTGCAGGGTTGTGACAGCGGGGAAATTTTCGCTATGGTTGGTGGTAGGCCTGTCCGGTAAGCCAGGGCCATAGCTATTCATGTGAGGGAAGTTGGGCGGCTTGGGCCCTATTCCAAGCTTGCAATGGAGAGACTCCTTTTGGTGTAAGAAATAATAATAATACCAATAAATAAATAAAAAAAGATGAAGAAGAAGAAGTCCCACTTACCCTGGGGCCAGGACCCACTAGGCAATATTTGCGTCTCCCCTGTTTGGTTTTCAAACACGTGCGGCCGTCTGTGACAAAAGGCAGTCATTGATGATGCTCCGTATCGAGGGCGCAGTGCGATTTCTTCGTTTCGGCCACTAGCAGACTTTTAAGTTTTAACAATATTTTTTGTCCATTTAGTTTACCACTTTGCGTTGGCAGGAAGATGCAATTCTATGGTTTTCAAAGGGGGGGGGCGGCGTTTTTGCAGCTTCGCCCTGTTATTTTTTAATGTGCAGAAATAGACAATATTGAATCATCATGGAAGACTGCAATCGTGTGTGTGTGCACTGACAGTTCAACGCGCTGTGGCATTGTGGTAAACCTTTTCTTTGCATTCATATATCTCAGCGGTTTGCGGCTGAGGGAACCTTAAGTTATCATTTAGAGGAAGGAGAAGTTGTAACAAGGTTTCCGTAGGTGAACCTGCAGAAGGATCATTAAAAAAAAAAATATATATATATATATATATATCATTTTTTAAACGGTTTTAAATAAGGAAACAATGCCACACACCGTAGTCGGTCCGAGCCCCTGATCCTTCATTTCGAATCCAGATGCAATCGGATGAACAGAATAATATGATTCTGAATTGCCTGGGGCCAAGACCTTGGCCCTTTCCATTTTTTTTTTGTTCTTTTTTTTTCTTGTGTTAGCCGGGCCCCCATTGGCGGCCCCAACCCTGCACCCTAAATGCTAGGGCAACGGGGCAAACATGCTGTTACCCCTCTCCACCGAGAGAGGTGACCTCCCTTCACCGAAGAGAGGTAGAAAGCGATGCTTGCAGGGGTCCCCTGTATACCCTTAGGAGTAGTGGTAGGTCGTGAAATGAAAGATATTTTCCATGACATGGCTGAACGCCAGTTAAAAGATATGTGAGGTGAGAGAAAAACATATGGCTGTCCCCCCAACAAACAAATAAACAAAAGAGAAAAGCCTCAATTTTTTAATGGAATATAGAATGACATTGTGTCACTAGGATGAGTGAAACAAGGTTCTGCAAAAAAGTTACGACATACGCGGCATTAAAAAAGGGACACCGGACCCGTTTTCCGGGGTATAATAAAATGATCGCACTTTGGATTTGGAAAAAAAAAAAAAAAAAAAAAAAAAAAAAAACAGACAAACAGACAAACAAACAAACTGGAGCTGGTCGGGCACCACTGCTGGTATATGGGTGCACCATGAACCGAGTCCAGAATCAGTACCTCGGTGACAGAAGATAAGGTCAAATCATATTGGGGCTGTTTTGCTGAACCTAGCACCACTGGGGTCAGCCTCATCCGCCTGCAGGACCAACGACCCACTTCTACTGACTTAGGGCCTCGCTGCACTGCTCTCTAAATGTGCAAAATGAGACTGTACTATCTTCCCCTACAACATGCAAAGATACATTGCCCTACACAATCAAGGGATACAGGCCACTGCAGAACCCTGCTGCGCTCCCTTTTTAATCCGCGCCGATTTGTTTTCCAAACGGGCAAAGGTACTGATGGTTTAAAGTTGTCGGCTTTCTATCGTCATTATGCAAGGCCAAGGCCTGTATCCCTGCATTTTATTGCAATGCTTCCCCCAGGGCTCCCCCACCATCACCACCACCACCAAAGTGGGGTATGAAATTGGTCAACCCTACCACTTGGCCCTTGCCGCTTGCTAAGGATGGCCCAACCTGGAGAACAAGGCTTTCGTGGCAAAAGCACATTTTTTGCATTTTGTGTGCTCAGCAAAGCAATTTGCTTTAGAGTGTATCCCCAATACCGACTGATATTTCATGAATGGACCAAAATTGATATGAATATCCATTGAAACCCCCTGAAGAATT